AGCAGGTATGCGCCGCCATTTATGACAACTATCACAGCGAACCCATGCATTACGTGGGGGTAAATACTGCTCCCCAAGAGCGGCAGGTGACACGTTCAAGTTAGATATGTTTGTGGATGCAATATTTTCGCCAGAGTTGGCTTTTCCTTCGCCATCTACCAGGAGATTTTCTACAAAATACATGTAAAATCAGAAACAAGATCCATTTCTTTCAGTAATAAAGTAAGTCGTTGGAAGAGAGAACAACGAAAATAGAAGGATGATAAATCCTATAACAACATTGATGTCCATGCTCAAATTTTACTATAAAAATAAACAAATAAAACGTTACCAGCTTCTGGCTGACTTTCCACTTTGCAAGCAACCTGATCACAAACAGACTTCTCGTTGACCTTCTTTTTACCAGCAGAACTACGTTGGGATTCCTTCTTGCTGCGAGAATTTACTCTTTTAATTCCTGAATCAGAGCATTGGGACTTGCCTTTGGGAAGTTTACGACCCTTAGCTTTAGGAGAAGGACGAAAATTCTTGGATTTTTGTGATTTTGGCAGACTGATGCTATTATCCAGGTTGGAGTGTTTTTTAGCTTCTGCATCAGTTTCCACTTTAAGTGCCTCTGTAGAAACTCCGAGTGCAGTCTCCACTGGTGAGAGCAATGGTTCAACTACAGATGGTTCCTTATCACTGGATGAGTTGCTTGAGGCTTTTGCACTCGTCGAGAAAGTAAGATTATCAACAGGGCAAATGCCATTTTTAGTGTTCTGTTTTCTTCCATATTGCTTCAAAAGTTTAGCTTTGTTTATTCTCACTGCAAGAGGTGATTTATCTTCTGTCGTACTATTACCTAAACCAGAACGCTTATTTTTCTTCTTCCCACTCTTATTGCTGGTAAGATCTTTAGGAACAGCAAGATCCTTGGGAGAAGTAACCGTACATTGAAAATCATCATGAGGCCTTGAATAATGAGCATCCGGAATTAAATTGATAACTTCTGAATCAGGTGAAGTTCCCGGATCTTTGCATCTACTTTCAGCCACTCCTTCTGACGCTTCAACCAACACACTGGAGTAAATCCCAAAATAATCGTCTCCCGCATCTGGAGCTGACTTTTCTGTGACTACGTTGGTGCCCAAGTCATTATTAACAAGCTGAGCATCCTGAACAGAAGCATCTGGACAAGATGTTGCCTTCTCTTCGTTGCTGCTTAAACACTTGAAAAGCATGGAAACCTCACATTTTTTGCAGTCATCCACCTCACCGTTCACTGCTTTGGGGGACGCTGTGTGCAAGTTAGTCCCATCATCACAACTAGCAGCAGTAGGTAATGTTGAGTTATCAACAACCTGGGGAACCATGACGTTCACAATAGTTTGATTGACTCCTTTCCCCAATTTAACCTTCAAACGGATTTTAGTATTTGAAGCACTAGTGTTTTTCCTGGAACCTTGTGATTTTGATTTTATATTAGCCCCATTCTTATTTTTCTTTCCACTTTTTTTGCCACCTTTTGGTTTCTGCGATCCTTGATTTGGAGCTTGAATGACCTCAAGCCCATTACTATGCTCGAATAGCTGTGTAACATTTCCCAACAATCCCCAAGCAGATGAACGAGCTGATTTGGACAGACAACTTCTCTTCTTTCTAGTCTTGAAAGTAAGTTTGACTAATCCATTTGGAGATAATACTTTTTCTGTTTTCTTGCATTTCCTTGTGGCATTTTTTGTTCGAGTCTTGCAGCTCGATCTACTTCTTCGACTATTCTTTTGAGAGGATGATGATGCAATATCACAAGATTTTGCTTCAGAAACACAATTGACTCCCTCGTTATCATTTCCTTCATCATCCGTTTTTCCAGAACAGTCAACTGTACTACCTGATTTAATAGGACCATGAGAACTATTGCCAAGCTGATGCGGCAAATCCAATGTTTTAGAAGACCCATCATCAACAACACCCAAGGGTTGACAAGATTTAAGAGAACTAGATGCATCATTGCATGCATTTTCTTCTAAAGCCAGCATCTGGTCCCCAACTTCAACTTTTGTATCAACAGTTACATCAATTTTTTCCTCCACAAACTCTGCAACCCCTTTTGCTGAAGGACTATCACCACTCTTTTCATCCATCTGCTCATATTGTTGGACACAGGTCATAGGAGACCCAAGCTTATGCTCATTCTCAAGACTTGTTGAAAGTGATACTAGGTTGGACGTATCAATATTACTTTCCATTCCAACAGCCTCGGTAACCCTCTCAATAGGAAAACCACTGGAATTATTTTGATAATTTTCGCAGGCATAATTACTCACTTCTTCACCTGAATGTGAAAAGTCTAGAGACATTTCACCACGTTGGAAAGGATCTGATATCTCCGTGCACATATCAGCTTCCAACCCAACTGAAGCAACAATTTTCCCAGTTATATTTCCCAAAGAAGGATCACTAACACAATCAAAATTCTGCTCTTCCTGTTCAAGATTATTACCCAGCACATCATTCGCAGGAAGCGATTCTAAGCTTTCACGATCTTGTGAAGGTGGTTCCTGCAGACACAAAGCATTGCTCACCTTTGCTAAGAGATCATTTTTATCTTCCCTCACCTCCATAATCTCCTCAGTGAAAAGACAACAGGCACCTTCATCCTTTTGCTCATCCAGCTGAACACCATTTGCTGGCAAATCAGCAACAGTTATAACCTTCGTGTGTATCTTGCAGTCCACTATGAGATTTCCTAGGTTATCCTCGCCTCTTGATGTACCTTCTTGCAAGCACTCCCCACAACGCTCTGCATTGCAGGCAACGATGTCACTCTGATTTTCATCCAAACAACCCCCACTAACTGTGGAGTCATTTATCAACGAATTCTCCAACTCCAAAACATCTAAATCTTTATGCTCACCTACCAACCCATCTCCATTATCACCATAGCTACCTTGCTGCAAGCATTCACTGCCACTTTCTTTTTCATGGACATCAATACCATTGTGATTATCGTCGAAACAACCCCCACTAACCCCGGCGACCTTTTTCAACAAGTTCTCCAACGGCAAAACATCTACGGCTTCATACTCACCTAGCAAACCATCTCTGCTAACAAAGCTACCTTCCTGCAAGCACTCCCCACTGCTTTCTTTTTCATCGACATCAAGATTGATGTGATTCTCATCCAAACAACCCCCACTAAACGCAAAGTCATTTTTCAACAATTCATCCATCCCCAAAACATCTGCAGGTTCATCCTCGTCTCCCGAACCATCTCTAGTAACAGAGGTGCCTTCCAGCAAGCACTCACCATCTCTTTCCTTTTCACGGGCATCGATGTCATTATGACTCTCATCCAAACAACCCCCACTATGCCCAGAATTGTTTTCCATCACATTCTCCAATGGCAAAACATCTGCAGCTTCATATTCGCCTACCAACCCATCTCTGCTAAGGGAGCTACCTTCCCGCCAGCACTCCTGACTGCTTTCTTTTTCAGCAACATTGACACCAGTGCGATTCTCATCCAAACAACCCCAACCAACCGCGGAGTCATTTTCCAACAATTTATCTGACCCCAAAACATTCACAACTTCATACTCGCCTCCGGACTCATCATTACTAACAGAGTCACCTTCCTGCAAGCACTCCCCACTGCTTTGTTTTACACGGACATCAATGACATTGTGATTCTCATCCAACGGCAAAACATCTACGGCTTCATACTCGCCTACCAACCCATCTCTGCTGACAGAGCTACCTTCCCGCAAGCACTCCCCGCCAATTTCAGTTTCGCGCACATTAATGCCACTGCGACTCTCATCCAAACAACCTCCACCACGCCCATAATCATCCGTCAACAAACTCTCCAATCCCAAACCATCCACATCTTTACGCTCACCCACCAACCCATCACCGGAGCTCAAACTACCAGAATCGTCGTAATTGCTGACCAAGTCAGGACAACTATTAGGCGCACCGGCAAGGTCAACCTTAGAATCAACTAAAGGGCGAGGAAGCTCCGCGCATAAATGCTGCCCAGATATCGACGCACACAAAGGCTCGCCGACCACAACCGAATTCTCACAAGAACCCATCTTCGCATCGCTCAGAAAACAGCCAAAACGATCAACCGCGAGCTCCACACGAGTTTAGCCCCAAACGGAGGACAATGCACATCAAAACCACCTCCGAAAAAGCCCTAAATCCGACTACTTTTCCCAAATCTTCTCCGTAATACGAACCGAAAACCGAAAACAAAATAGGAAAATAAGAAAAAACAGAACCTGTGGCTTGTGTCAGAAGAAAAATCCGCGCAGAGAAAACCCTAGAAAGCACATTCTCCCGACTTCCTCTGCAGAAGCAAAACCCTAATTTCTCAGAAACGACGAAGGAAAAATGCAGGTACGCATGTTTGTACAGAGTACACAAACGTACAAATTTACACACAAAACAATAACTCTCTTTTTTGGAAAAAAAAAAAAAAAAAAACGATAACAACAAAAAGAAGAAGAAAGAAGAAGAGAAAAATCAGAAGATGAACACAAGCGATTGGAAACGAAAATACCTGCCGAGAGAAAGGGAGAAATTGATGGATGCAACAGGGCAGAGTTTTTTCTTTTTTCCTTTTAATTTATTTTATGGTTTCGACTTTCGATTATTTTGTAATTGTTATTTTTATATATTTTTCTGTCCTTTTTTTTTTTAATCTTCCCTTTGCACGAGTGAGAGGGGGAATGGAATCGGTTGGTGGGTGTGAACAAAACGGGTTTTTTTTTTAAAGTAAAAGAAATTATAATAAAAAATATTTTCGAGAACAAAATTAAAAAATGAATTTATAAATATGCTTAAAAAATAGACATAATCAAAATAAGAATTAAAAAAAAAAAAAAGAGGAGGAGGAGAAAGAGTCAAAGGACGGAGTGACACGAGAAAAAGGGGAAGGCTCCGACTGGAACGAGGATGCGCTTTTTATCACTTTGAAGTTTGATGATTGATTTGTCTGCAAATTTTTATTCCTACGGACCGTTTTGACCCTTCTGAAAGAAAATTATCCATGTGACGGTGGTATGAGTGGGGGTATTTTGGTCATTAAGATATTGACCGAGTCGAATTTTCTTTCGTTTGTTTTTTTAATGGAGTTTTCTTTTGTTGTTTCTTTCGGTGGGATTATGCCGGCGATAAGTTTTTAGGATATTTAATATTATCTGCATATTAGATATTTTCTCTAATCTTGTTGCCAACGTAATAAATGCGTGAAGTTTTGGGCAAAATTGTCAGATCAGTGCACAGGATTCTTTCTTTCTTTTTTTCTATCTCTTTTTTTTTCTTAACGCCGTTTACTTCGTTAATTTAAGTTTTTAATTTAAATTAAAATATAATTCTATGTGATAATTTTTTATTATAGTAAAAAAGTTAGATATGACTATTTTTAAAAAATTTTTACTGTAACAAAACTCAAATTCTAAACTCAAATCGGTAAAATGGACGGAACCTTATTTCTTAGATTATGTTCATTTCACCGATTCAAGTTTTGCTACAGTAAAAAAACTCTCAGAAACAGTCACATCTAACTTTTTTACAACAGTAAAAAACTCTCATATAAAATTACATCTCAACTCGAATCAGCGAACTAAACGGGCTCTTAATAAATTTTGTCAAATAATAAATGTTGTCCCACTGTTCAAAATGATATAAATGCCTCATTTATTTTACCGATTTGAGTTTATAATTTAAGTTTTATTATAATAAAAAACTTTTAAAAACAGTCACATCTAATTATTTTACTACAATAAGCTTTCACATAAAGTCACATCTCAACTTGAATCATCGAACTAAACGAGTCTAAAATCATCCATGAAATTATCACCTAGTTACAATTTTGTGTACTTCTATTGTTGAGACACTATTTTTAGTGGTTTTTAATTATGTATGAATCACATAATTAGTCCGTAAAAGAAAACATAGTAAATTTAAATGAAATAGATTTTAATTTTATCAATTAGTCGTGCGACCCTCCCTAAAAAACTGTTAAGAAATCGACGTTATTGAAACGTTAGTAACAAAGTTTGTAACTCATAATAAGCTCAAGAATGAGGTTTGTATCATCTTGTTATAAACTAAGTAATTATATTGCTGCAATAATATGGAGATTAGCTTTGTTTCACACTGCCCTTAATCACATTCTTTTTATAAGCGTAAAATTAGCACAATGCGCGGCAATGACCTGGGGATTAGTTTTTTTTTTTTTCCACTTTGCCCTTGATCACATTATTTTTTATAAGAGTAAAACAAAAATAATTCGTGGGACTTAAAAAATGTTTAATTGTCTTTCTATGAATATGCACACAAATCATCATAATTATAAAAATAGCCGTTCATTTTATTAGTTCGAATTATAACTCAAACTTTTATTATAATGGTTCACTCATAAAAATTTAAATTTAACTTTTTTGTCATTGTGTTATCTCTCATATGAATTTATTTTTTAATTCAAATTATCAACTCGAATGAACAGAACGTACGAGACCGCCTCCCAATTATTAAGTATTAAGTAGTAGTTGATAACTTCATTCTTTTTTTCTTCTTTTTTTGAACAAAAAAAAGTATTCTTAACCTTTAAAATGGTTGCAAAAAGACCAAAATTGCCAATGGCACTTCAATTTTGGACTACTTTCATCAGGTGTTATCACTGATCTTAATCTTTAACATCCGTGAAATTTTTAACGTACATAAAAGACAGTCCATTTTAGTGCATTATCTTATATTTATTATGTGTCAACTCCACCCTTTTTTTTTTTTTTTCCTTTTATTGTTTGTTCTTTCTTTTGTTTCCTTTTTATTCCTTTTAGCAAAAGCTCCTCGACAATAAAGTTATTGCAATGCGCTTCTTTAAAATGCATTTTTTTGTTCTTCTTATTCAAATAATTTCTTTCAAATATGTTGTTAACTTTTTTTCCATAAAAAATTTCTCAAAGTTTTATTCCTTTTTGTTTTGATGCTTCAAAATACCTTTTCTTCCTTGATAGCTTGTATTAAAATAGTTTTCCAAATGTATCTCTACTTCTTCTTTTTTTTTTTTTTTAATTTGTCGAAACAAAATTTTTCCTTTTAGTAGACCATCTTTCATTTGTAAAGTATCAACTTCATTTTTCTTTTTTTTCCTACTTTTTCTTATTCATGTTTTTCAACTTTTCTTTAACATTTTTAATATATCTAATACATATTATTTTAGCAACATGTACTCACACTTTTTTCCAACTCCATACTTGTACATAACTCTGGCATCATTCTTTTCACTAAAAGTTTTTTGTTATAGTATTTTTCTCACCAAAATTTAAATTTAACTTTTTTGATACAATATTTTATCTCACATAAAAAAGTTTAAGCTGTGAATTGAGTCGTAAAACACGTAGCTTTGTCTCTAATCAATCAATAAAAAATGGAGCCAAATTTCGCCTCTTCCTCTCGAACCATTTAAGGTGCTCATGCAAATTCTACCTAAGCTCAATTTGCATAATAATTGAGTCGTGATCAGATCCTTCGAGGGTTGAATTGAACCATCCCTCCACATTAATACATGGATTGGAAACCAGCAAGGGACAAAATAAATCATCAATTAGCAGACATGTAGGTCCAAAATGTACTACCTTCATCTCACCTATCGTCTCTAGATCTTAATTAGCACTAGTTTTAAATAAAATAAAAAATAAATACATATAGATCGTGTTTGAAATTGATCTCGTTTTTGTTTTTTACGTTTTTTGAGAAAGAAAAAATAAAAATATTTTTAAAACGGCGTTTTGCGCAATAAAGATAAAAAACAGAAATGAAAACGATTTTTTAGTTTAGTGTAAAATGATAGAGAAATGAAAAATGACTTTTAGTCGTTTTTCATTTTTTATTTTCGTTTTCTCCTCTCTCGAGCAAAGAGAGAGAGAAAGAGAGACATTAATGAGTTTTTTTACATTGAAAATAATCTCTTGATAAAACTACCTGACGCATTTTTAAAAATAATTTATGCCTGAGATTGAAAATGTTTTCATTTTCATTTTCATACAAAAAATAAAATTATTTTGAAACGATTTCCAAACACGCTCATAGTTTTCGTGTTTCTTAATTAATAACTATAAAGCATCGTTCATTTTACCGATTCAAGTTTTTAATTTTAAATTTATACAGTTAAAAGTTCTCAGAAAATGTCACATCTAACTTTTTTTTGCTACAGTTAAAAGCTCTAAAAAAATGTCACATCTCAACTCGAATTGAAAACTTGAATTCACGAAGCGAACGGGGCCTAAGTTTAGCAAAAAAGAAACTGCTCGTTTTTCCCCACCAGGCTCTCTCTCTCTCTTAATCATTAAAATAGCAAAAAAAACTCAATTAAGTCACGAGGAGCACTTTTCCAAAAGGGTTAAGAAGTTCAGAAACTTTCTAATTAGTGGCGCAGAAAGGGGAGAGTATAATTGTTAATTAGCTTAATTTGTTACTTTTTTTTTATGCTTTTAGAAAGCTAGCTTTGTTGCAGCTTGTTAACCTTTGGTTTTTCTCTCCGTGCATGTTTCTCAGTGACTGGTTTAAATTACGTACGATATGGTTTTTAGGGTTTCCCCTAATGGCTTATAAATGGGGAAAAAGCAAATATATGATCAGTTTATTTTACCGATTTGAATTTTGTTACAGAAAAAAATTTTTAAAAATAATCACATCTAATTTTTTTGCGATAGTAACATCTTTTACATAAAATCACATGTCAACTTGAATTAAAATCTTAAATCTGTGAACTAAACGGGACTATAGTAATACTTGTATGTGTTTGTCGTACTGGTCATTTGATGTAGTTTAAGGCTTTGAAGTCCGACCCGTGATGGTCTTGTCTCGCCTGGGATCCCAAATACGACATGAGACAATTTATGAACAAATGTCAAATACGACGTCAAATCAATTTCAAAATGTTAGTTTTTTCCCTTGATAAATATGAAATTATGAATGCTATGTGTTAGTCAATTGGAAAGCGATGTGTAAGGGGAGAAATTGTGAACCAACTAATAACGCGTAAAAACAGGGTCCGTTCGGTTCGCTAATTTAAATTTTTAATTTGAGTTGAGATGTGATATTGTGTGAGAGTTTTTTACTGTAGTAAAAAAGTTAACTGTTACTATTTTTGAGAACTTTTTACTGTAGTAAAACTTAAATTCTAAACTCGAATCAGCGAAAAGAACGGGACCTATTAGTGGTATTTCTTATAGTTTGTCCCAAGTCCCAACATAACAGGATAAAACGTAGGAAAATTATAAGGCCGTGACATAAAAACTGAATTATTGTGGGGTTTTTTTTTTTCAGACCGGTTGAAAATTCAATCAGTGAGATTATTTTTATTTTCAGCACAAGGAGCATAATTAATTACTGTTTGCTTAATTCATTGGTGAATATATTCCTTCACTCAAACAATATAATTTTTTTCAAAAAAAAAAAAAATTATACCCTACATTTTGAGGGTTGGTACCAAATAATGTTCAAAATAACGATGCCTTTTGTTCATCGTCTATTATAAATAATACGAGGGACAAGCTATATATAGGTTTTAAAGTCAGTAATTAATATCTCCATATACTTTTTTTTCTCCTTTCTTCTACATAAAGATAAACTTAATTATTAGTCATTCCTACAATCTTAAAAAAAGCATATATATTTAGGTTGTAACATTATGTAGCTTAAATATGTATTAGGATATATAAACACCACAGAAGGTAGCAAGTTGCATGCATGCACGCCACTAGTTAATCGTTGCATACAAAGTCCTTAGTGCTTAACCATGACAAGCTTAATTTAATCACCTCTATAACTACCTAATTAATTATAAATTAACAAGATAGCCAGCAATTTTATCTTAATTGCATTCTCATCATTAATTAATTACATCCTCTCCTGTAGATTTGGCTGCATAGGCTGCACGCGGAAAGCAAACGACATGTGGGAATTGTAGTCTGATCTCAGGACGCCGTCTTGCATTCCCATCTTTTGGAACTGTGAATCATGATCATCATGTCAAAGCAAAAGATCACAAAAACAGTCATTAATTTAATCGAACAAGGTTATACGTACGTGAATAATAATATTCATTTATACAAAGATGCATTGTCTAGAATTTGACTATATTTTTCATTTGGGTGGTCAAGCTAGGAGCATTTCATTTTCCAGACAACTTAATTAATTAACACTAAATTCTCGTTTGACCACAATTGAAAAGTCAAAACATGAACAATGCATCTTGTAATTATGTGTAGTACAAATAACAGTACGTATACCAATATATATATATATATATATTAAAAGAAAAACATACAAATTAATCACATAACTACTAACAAAAACGTTGTAGATCATATTCATTAGACGAGACTTATTAATTATTTAATTTAAATGGAGTACATTCTCAGGAAATACATTAAAGAACGTGTATATATATATATATATAGGTCTTCATGACATGTTTTATAGCTCTAATTTTGAGGTGGATTACCCAACAGAAAACACATAAGAAAGTCAGGTTGACAATTAGCAATTACTGTTGTGTTTTTTGTTGTACTCTTCTTTATCGTTTTCCGTTCATTTTAAGCAACGTTCAACTACACGTCAAGTGTCTCCTTTCCGTGTCTAACCATATACTCGTTCAAGAGTTTCTTTGCTGTCCACTCCGATATGATCGAGTCGTTTCTTTGCCTGTCCACTCCGACATGACCAAGTCCTAACTATTCTACAAATGTTTAAGTCTCGTTTAGTTTATTTATTCAAATTTTTAATTTGAGTTAAGATATGATTTTATATGAGTGTTTTTTATTGTAGTAAAAAAAATTAAATGTGATTGTTTTTGAGAGTTTTTTACTGTAATAAAATTTGAATTCTAAACTCAAATCAACTAAATGAATAAGGTATTAGACTCTCTCTCACACACACACATGTATACCCATGCAGGCACGCACAAAATTAAACACAGAAAATCTTGTTTTTATATGTATTTTAAAAAAAAATGATTTTACTCCATCAAAATGCACATAAAAGTGCATATACACAGTTATAAAGGAATAAAAACCATATAATTAGGCTTATAAAGATTAATTAGTACTATATATATTGGTACTATTGAAACAAACACACACACAGATATATATATATATAACTACACACAAAATAATATAATAAGCAATGTCATTAGATATATAAAAATATATAGTGTATGATATAGATGATGAACATACCAACTCACAGGTGAGGCGCTTATTCTCCGACTCCAGAAACTCGTCCTGCGCAGGATTATTTTAACCAATCATATTATTGTCCGAATATTATTTTTCGCAAATATTCTCTTCAGAGGTATTAAGAGATCGCGATAAACAAGCGAAATGAAAGACATATAGACAAAGGAAAACAAAATTTAAATAACGTAACCCGAGAAATCAGCATAACTTTTGTCCACATACCTTTTGCCGAAGTTGGTTGATGCACTCCATCTGTCATGGAAAATAGAAAAAAAAAATTATTAGACCTTTTTCATGCGCATATAATATAACAGATACATATATATATCTATAAACTGTATCCTCTATATAAAGTGTATATATATATATATATATATATACTTGCCTGCGCAGCACGGACATTTTGGAGGCCATTATAAAGTGTATCCTCTAAAGCCATGAGCTCTCTGTGGTTTAAAGATTGGATTTCCTGCCCTTTCATGTGCCTAGTACATAACAATATATACATATATATATATATTGGAAATAAATAATTATCTAAATATTAGAGAGATTCATAGAGGGAGAGAGATGTGTCAAGATCAGTAAAACCTATACCTTAGATGGATGTCCATGTTTTCGTTTTCTTTTTTGGTCATTTCAATCTCAGTGTTGAGGTTCTGCCAGAGTTATAAAACTATCACATATAAGTAGTTATACAGATCCCAATCATTCTGTAAACAAATACAAGTATATAATAATATACGTTAATTAAAAAATCTTAGACTATATGTAAATGTATATGTTGAGGGTTCCGGATCTGATATATACAATATTCACTTTCTATATATGTTTTTACTTCAGAGGAACCCTAAAGGGTAAAAGAAAGATTTTTTAACAAAAAAGTTTAAAAATTTAATATGTGCCTATGAAACTAGCTAGAACACATACACCTATATATATATATATACATATTCAGGTCTCTCTCAACCTTTGCAAGGAGAATGGAAGGGAGAGCATCCCGTACAAGATCTGTTAATCGATGTTACAAATCTATATATACACACACACATATATGTATAACTGATTTTTTTTCTCAATAAAATAATTATAAATAAAAATAGTACTTCGGAGAGAAAACGAAGAGATCAGGAACCAAGTACATCCTAGATATTTGTAGATCTGTTAGTATATAAATCACAATTCATGTTTTTAACATATTTTTAGATAAAAGAAACTGCTCACAAATCTTTCTTGAGACAAGGATAAATAAACAGATCCTTATTATATATGCTTTATTTGAATATCAGAGAATATATATATATATATCAGCTTATCATATATATTGATCCCCGTTGATTAACTCACTTCATGCTTGAGATCCCACAACCTCTTTCCTGAGAGCCTTTGGTATTCTTCCGCGATGAAACTTAACCTAAATATTCATCATCCAAAAAAATAATCAAAAAGCTTAATATCAAAAAAAGACCGGCCTTTCTTAAAAAAAAGAGGAGATAATATGATAAAAGCCATAAGTAAAAAAAACAAAAAAACAAAATTATTAGCAAGAAAAAAATCCAAAGAAAAAAAAAAAAATTGTGTTTTTTACGCACGACGTAGTTTCAGGGCTGCAGAAATCCACGATCTTCCCATTGGGACCGTAGATAATAAGCGAAACCTTAGCGTCACAGAGAATACTGATCTCCTGGGCCTTCTTAATTATTCCTTTCTTTCTCTTCGAGTATGTGACGCTCCTGTTATTAGAGTTCTCAATTCTCTTTATCTCAATCTTTCCTCTTCCCATCTTTTTAGTTAATTTCTTGTGTTTGTTACTTGACCTAGTGTTTTTTTTTTTTTCCTCTTACTTTCTCACTCTCTCTCTCCTCTTTCTGATCTTCAGAAAAATGTTTAGAGATGGCATATAAAAAGAGCTAGCTGATCACTTAAGAGAGAGAGAGAGAGAGAGAGAGAGAGAGAGAGAGAGAGAGAGAAATATGCATATAAAGCAAACAAAAGGCATTTCCATTATGGGTTTGGAGGTTTGGGAACTTTCTGAGTGGCACAGAAAGGGAGGGTTTGTTTATATGATAATAACTTAACTGCCTTTTATCTGCTGGTTTTTTTTATGTGGGGTTTTTTTTTTTTTTTTTTTTTGTTAAATTAATTAGCTTTGAGGTTACATTAAATTAGTTTTTACACCTTTTTAACCTTTGGTTTTTCTCAGTGTATTTGTCTCCGACTGGTTTAAGATTTGAAGGTTTTTAGGGTTTCCCTTAATGGCTAACATGGGGAACAAGCAAAGATTCATCAAAACTTTAATTATTTGTGTGTTTGATACGTAATATCATGGTGCATGTCGTATTGGACATTTGTTAGATGGAACCGACAAATACGACATAAAAGATTTGTTAAATCTTAACCATCAAATCAGTTTTCCGAAATGTTTTTTTCCTCAATAAATATGGACACTAGTTAATGGTAAAGCGAAGAGATAATGAAACGTGTACAAATATAGCATTATGGTCCTTGTATGTCCCAACTACAAAGTAACAAGGATACATAACACAAGGGATAAAAAAAAGAAAGAATAAATGAATAAATAAAATAAGAACTAGCTACAAAGTAACTTGGAATGTGACTAAGAAGCACAAGTTTGTTGGGTTTCTTTTGATCTCTCTCTCTGTAATGACAATAATATTGTCCACATCATATATATTTTGAATATTTAAAGTCCGTTCACTTCGCCGATTTGAGTTTATAATTTGAGTTAATATGTGATTTTATGTGAGAGTTTTTTATTTTAACAAAAAAGTTAGATGTGACTGTTTCTAAGAACTTTTTACTGTAGCAAAACTTAAATTCTAAACTCGAATCGGTGAAGTGAATGGGGCCTTAATGTATAATCTTAGGTACAAAATCTAAAAGATTAGGCATATATATTTTTTAACAGTTAAAATGTTGATGACAAATTAGACATCTATTATATCTATTTTCTTTCGGTCAAAGTTCCACCTCAGACGCAATACAAAGCCAAGAATGTCAAGAAACCTATCATATTTATTGTGAACAAAACTTAGAAGTTCTTAGATTTTTTTTTTAAATAAATAAATAAATCACTGGACACCTGATTGTTGACTAGAGCATCTATTTTCCTTTGTTTCCCTGTAATTCGGTGAAAAAACTGGTAGGCAATAGATGCATCAGATAAAGCAGGTGAAACTATTGTTCGAAATCAACAGTGAATAAATTGGGGTTGCCATTATCTATCTCACGTTTTAAAAGGTTTAAAAAAAGAACACACACACACACACAAAATGCAAGATCAATCAATCAATCAAAGGAACAAGAATAAGAGGATGATGTGATTATACTTAGGATTCTTGTCTTGCCTGGTATGCAGAAATAAGGCGCACGATGTGACTTGATCTATAAGTTGCGAAGTGTCTGATTTTTGGTTCATTATTTTAACAAGCTCAACACAACCAGCGGGCTATTGTCGAAGGAACTAGCTGGCGCTTTTGCAGTAGTTACTTGGTTCGGCCCTAAGTTTGGAAACTAAAGTGGCAGCAAATTAATTTGGTGAAAACCATCACCAAAAGTCAAGAATATTCGTGTTATATCATCAAGAATTAATAAATTTATAAGCAGAAGCGTATCTGAATCCATATTGATTGATTTTTCTCTACAGTCGTGCAGTTTGTCTTTTAAATCAATACATTTTCCTAGAGAACCCTTTAACTCTCTCCGTACTCTCTTTGATAATGGGATGTCAGAAGGAATAGAATGTAACGTGCGGGGGACCATAACCGCTATATGTAGATAACTTTCATGTTATCTTTTGGTATTTCTATTTTAACCCATTATAAAAATAGAAATTACCCTTAAGTCTCTACACCCTATTAGATACATTAAAATCTAAAATATTCAAATCTTAGTATATCACTTTTAATTGAGCTTAACCTTATATGACAACTCACAACACATAATTATTCACATATAAGATCAACGTTGAATTAAGGATCCAACATAACTCTCTCTGCTTGAACATATATTCAAGTACACTACGTGCGTACAAGCAGCAGGCAGGTATGTTCTTTCCAGACTTAAATTTTTTTATTATAATATTTTTTCTCATAAAAATTTAAATTTAATTTTTTTACTACAGTACTTTCTCCAACATAAACTTCACTTTTAAACTCAAGTTCTTAACCCCTATTCTATTTTCCAAACTTTTGAATTTGGATAGCTTTTATTGAAACATAATTTTTTAGCCCGTTTGATTCGTAAATTTAAATAGAAATTTAAGTTTTGTGAGAGAAGTTTTTGCAGACTTTAGTCCTCTAAGGAGACAACTAAGCAAAATTTTCATTTATATTTGTACCCGATTTGTTGAGAGAGGAAGAAAATGTTTCGACTCTACACAAAAGAAGGGTCAGACAACTAAGGGCATGTTCGGTGAGGTAGTTTTTGAGTGAAAAACTCAAAAAAAGGTAACTCGAGTTACAACTTTATTCGAGTTTATATTCTTTTAAGTTTGAACTCGAGTTTGAACTCGAGTTTGGAACTAAAACTCGAGTTCAAGTTTTCCCTTCAACTCGAGTTCAGAAACTCGAACTCAAGTTAATGAACAGTATTTTTTCTATTCTTAAAAATACTATAACTTTTTCGTTTTAATTCTGATTGAGATGATTTTTTTTTCTATGCGTTGACAACGAAAATACGAATAAAACTAGACCCATATACCCTATGAAAATTTTTCATCAGCATTGAGTTTTTATTAAAATACTATCTAAAAACAAATTCAAGTTTTGACTTACTCAAACACAAACTCAAAAAAGATTCTTATCTCAAACCATAACTCAAATGTACACAACCAAACACAAACTCAAGTTACAACTTCAACTCAAGTTATAACTCAAACTCAACTCAAAATCTACACTCAAATTACCTAACTCAAAAACATCAAAAGAACAAGCCCTAAGAAATAAGATACTTTGCCCGAGCCTGTGGAAAATTTGAGTTGCAAATGATTGATGAAGGCGAATGAAATTTCGTAGGGTTGTTCTTTTGCATTTTTTAGTTGGAGTAACTTGAGTGATGATTTTAAATTGAGTTTGAGTTATAACTTGAAGATGAAGGCGAATGAAATTTCGTAGGGTTGTTCTTTTGCATTTTTTAGTTAGAGTAACTTGAGTGATGATTTTAAATTGAGTTTGAGTTATAACTTGAGTTGAAATTGTAATTTGAGTTTGTGTTTAGATGTGCACAGTTGAGTTATGATTTGAATTGAGAATTTTTTTTAGTTTGTGTTTGGATGTGTCAAAACTTAAATTTATATTTAGATAGTATTTTAATAAAAATTCAATAGTGATGAAAAATTTTAATAAGGTATATTATAGGTGAAATTTTATTCGTCTTTTCGTTGTGAATGGATAGAAAAAAAATAATCTCAATTAGAATTAAAACGAAAAAGTTATGAAATTTTTAAGAATATAAAAAATATTGGGATTGTTCTTTTGGGTAAAACTAAAAAAAAAAATTTGAATTCAAATTACAATTTTTTTTAAGTTCATGTTCGTTTGTAAAATTTGAGTTTGAACTTGAATTTGAAACTAAAATATGAGTTTAAGTTTCCCCCTCAACTTAAGTTAATGAACAATATTTTTTCAATTCTAAAAACTATCATAACTTTTTCATTTTAATTCCGATTGAGATAATTTTTTTTCTATGCGTTCACAATGAAGAGACGAATAAAACCTCACACATATACCCTATTAAAAATTTTCATCACTATTGAGTTTTTATTAAAATACTATTTAAATACAAATTTAAGTTTTGACCTACTCAAACACAAACTCAAATAGATTCTTAATTCAAATCATAACTCAAATGTGCACATCTAAACACAAACTCAAATTACAACTTTAACTCAAATTATAACTCAAATTCAACTCAAGATCTACTCAAGTCACCGTAATTCAAAAATGTAACCGAACAAGCCCATTGTTCATTAACTTGAGTTTGAGTTTATAAACTTGAGTTATAGGAGAAACTTGAACTCGAGTTTAGTCCCAAACTCGAGTTCAAACTCAAATTTTACAAAAAAAAACCATAAACTTAAATAAAATTGTAATTTCAAGTTCAAGCTTTTTTTGAGTTTCATTGCAAAAGAACAACCCTTTAGTTACAACACGATCAAGAAGACTGAACAACACCCTTTTGAATTTTCATCAGCCATGACATACAGCCAACAGGGCAAATACCGTGGTCCATTCACTTCCAGGCTTACCAACTGGAAGATTATACAGTTTCTTTTTAAATCTTCAACATCTAGAAAGCTTTTATACAGCTAGCAATTATCACTAGCTCATGAATGTAACATAAGTCCCATTTTCAGACTCGTATATCACAGACTCGCTGATATACATCGAACATCTCGAACATGACTGCATATGCTCACTTCCAAAGAGCGAAAAATGCACCCAACTCTGTCTGGCATCTTCATCTTCACCTTCACCTTCACATGCAATATTCAAATTAAGCAGGATGATTAAAACCAGTTTGAAACACTGAAGTCTCGAAGCTTTCTAAGATGTCTCTCCATATCCTGTCTAGTTTTTGCCCACTCTTCCCTCTCTATCACTGTGGTGGGATCCTCTCTTTCACTCTGAAAGCATAGAAGCGAGAAATTAGGTAAAGCTCAATGGATAAATTCCAAGAAGAAGAAAGGAAAAGGACGGCAGTTCAATACCGAAGGGGTTATTTTGAAGGAGTTGCCATTATCATGTATGACAAGAAGGTCATCTTTTCTGTCCCTGTTCTTTCCTTCCGGGACTGCAACCTGCAGACCGCATGAAAACCACTCCAGGATGAATGAATTAAAATATAAATTCCACATTTTCTAACACACTACTATAAACAAAATGCGAACCAAAGGAAACTCATCCAAGTCAAAAGGGCTGCAGAGTTGATCTAGAAGTTGATGGGAACACATCACTATTGCACAGCAGTACAATTATCGAACAGTCAAACCACACGGACTTAAATTTTAGAGAGAAAATTTTCCTCACCACAACTTTTGCTCTAGTAATTGACTTTGTTTTGGAATCAATCACATAGATCTCCTCAAAATCCAGCACAAATTCTGGATCTCCCAACCTTCGGTTCCTATAGTGCTTTGTCAAATAAACCTGCAATGAAAGGCGCCCTGGTGATGATGTTGCTTAAAAGTGACACAATTAATCAAGAAGAAAATTGAAGACAAAAGTGCCATTTATTCAGACTAGATTTGACTATTGTCTTCTAAAACACATCCAGAAACCACCGAAACTGTCCCTGTGGAAGTGACCATCAGTCCTCCTATTTAACTGCAATGTAATTCTTCGCAAAGACAAATATTACCAATCCAAAATCTGTCATCTTGTTGCATTTTCTCCAAAAGAAGAAACTCGGGAAACTTCACTATGCATCAAAACTATCCATGCATCCATGCACTTCATCAGACTAGAAGCTATGATCTTGTCAACCACAGGAAACAACTAATTTAACATAACAATCCACAAAGGTGGGATTCAATCTCACCGAACCATTTGGTCACCATTTGAAGCTAAATAAACTTTACCCTAAAACAGATTAAAATCATTAGATGTTCTCCAAGCAAAAATGTATTCATACCTTTAGGATCTCTCTTTCAGATTTATACATTGGATCTCTAGGCGCGTCAATAGGTGGTTCTGTAACATTGTAGCATCCATAATCACTTTTCGCACAACGAATATACTGCAATTTTCAATTAGATGTAAAGATTCATCTATCATTATCAAAACATGAAAGAAATCGAAAGATTTAACTATATTAGCTACAGATATTACCCAACCTCAATGAATTGGTAACTCCAAAGAATATATCAGGATTAGAATTATTAAAAGTTTTTCTAAATACCTTTTTCGAGTCAGACAAATCATGTGCAATACCAAAAGTAATTAACAATAATAAAACTGAAAGCTTTCAACTATATAGCTATAGATATTATCCAACTTGAATAAACTGCTAATGCTAAGCATATTTCAGGAGTTAGATTAAATAAATCTTTTCCTAAATGCCTTTTGTTTTCCAAATTAAGAAAAATTAATGTAAAATATTGAAAAGTAATTAACAATAACGAAAGAAAAAGTACCTTCTGAGGCATCGGAGCAAGAACCTTTGGAATCGCATAAACATCTGTGTCCGGTGGAGTAACATACATCTATAAATTAAGCAAAAAAAACCCGTTAATTAAAGCTAAAAACTTTGCTTAATAAAGAACAGAAAATGAGATAATTTGGAAGGAAAAAGAAGAAGAAAGACCTCTCTGAAATCATAGACATCGTTATCGGGATCAGGGGGTTTTCTGATGAAGAAATCGCAGTGGAACAAGCTGATCTTGTGGAACTCGTCCTCGTTAATCCTGTAATCCACGACCATCTCCGAGTCCCACCCTTGCGTCGACACGAAGCTCTTGCTCTGCACCATTGCGATGTCCTCATTGGCGCCGACGACAAGGGAGGTCGACGCCGCGCCGGCCAGCGGTTCGTACTCGATGTCGAAGTCCTTCTTGTTGTCGACTTCCTCGACCTCCTCATCGTCCATGTCGTAGTCATCGGGGCCGCCGCTGTCGCCGTCGCCGTCGTCGGCGCGGACGACGAAGGGGCTGTTTGGCGGCGGGGTTTGGGGGCTGAGGGCGGGTCTGAGCTTAAGGATTGGGAAAGCGAGGGGCGACGGATAGTGGAGGAACGGCGAGGCGGCGGCAGCGGCGAGAGTTCTGAGAGCGAAGGGCGGCGGAGGGAGGATGAGAGTGGCAGCTCTCATGGCGTCGGCCTCTGAGTATGGAGAGTGAATGAGCTGAAGAAATATCTATCAAAAATCAAAATACGCGCTTTATCTGTTCGTTTCATAGTTTATTTTGTTTATTACTATTTTATTTTTTTAAGAGAAAACAAGTGAAAAATAACTTGGAGTTAGACGAGCCGTTCGGTTCATGGATTAGAATTATAAGATTAAAATTATTTTTGATTTACGTATATTTTTTATAAGAGAAAATACTATAGTAAATCATGAACCATAATTCGAATCAGAGAACGAATCCTCTAACCAAACGGGACAAATTTATAAAAATGCCATATATATATATATATATATATATATCTTTAAACCCACACTTATTGTTTGTCGGATTGAAAAGGCAGTTGTATAATTTTATATAAATCGTGTATATTTATATATAAAGTTGTGTATATTTATATATAAACATGTATATATTAAGTTATAAGAAATGATAGTGTATATTAATCCTCGAAACACGTATTTTTTATAGTAATTAAGTGAACACATAACATAAAAATATGTATATTGGTTGATTTGTTATATTTCAAGTCAATGAATGTAAGCAACAATGTATATCAATATACATATTTTTATGTTATGTGTTCACTTAATTGCAATAAAAAATACATATTTTGAGAATTAATATACATTATCGTTTCTTATAACTTAACATATATATATTTACATGTAAATATACACAACTTTATATGTAAATATACATGATTTATACATAATTATCCAACTGTCGTTCCGGTCAGGCACAATTCCAAATGTCTGACTAGAGACAATTTATATATATATATAGTAAATTCTATTAATATAATATAGTATTATTTAAACAAAAAATAATACAATGATCGTGTGGTTTGTTTTTTTGTTTTTTTATTTTTTTGTTTGTTTTTGTCTTTTAGAGTTCATGTTTTATTTTTTTATTATTTATGATCTTGATATTGGCTTAGTTTGGTAGTGTTGTAGATTTTGAAAAAATTACTTTTAGTTGTGCTAAAGGAATAAGCAGTTGTTATATAAAGTAACTAAGTATTTAGTAAACTATAATTATAATAGCTGTGCTGGTTCTAAAATCAGTGTAATAACGTTTGGTAAATTATGATGTTAAATTACTGTGGATAATTAAAAATTATGACTATATTATATTATACTATAATTACAATATAATATATAGCTATTATTATATTTAATATAATAATA